GTGGTAAGATTGAGTCACACATTGTCGGGTGTTATGCTGGTTATGATTCTGATGGTCTTACCCAATGATCCACAAATATCAATGATGCACACCTGGAAGTTGCTGGGAAGGGTCAAAGTCTGGCCAGTCGCCTTCATCCAAACGCATCGTGGCCGAAAGAATCAGCTGATCGTGGTGCGAAGCTCAGTATCTCACGTCCACCAAAAAAAAGGGGGCACAAAGCACTCGCGCTCAAAGGAAGCCTGGGCTATTAGGAAAATTGCCAATCATCGACTTGTTTCTACGCTGTAGCAAAAAAAGGAACACGGAACATGACATCAACTCCTCTCGGACCGGACAGCTACAGTGATATTCTGGGTCACGCCCTTAACATGTTTGTCTTTTGCATTGTCGCCTGTGTCCTTCATAGCCAAAGTGTGGGTGCGGCACAGTGTGACGTTTGCAACATGGAGTTCCTAAGGACCCCGCCTCGCAGGAACTGAGTCCATGCGAGCTGCGACCACTTTTCGTGTGGAGACCTGCGGCTGTCGCTCAAACCTTGAAACAAACGTTCCGGTAAACAATTGATAGTGGGTGTCCTGCCACTGATTATATGTATATAACACAGCTGGGTGCATTCACAATTCACAAGCATGTGTGGGTTGGTGCATGTTGTGCTTCGGACTTTTGAGATGAGTCCAGCCCAATCTTTTGAGTTTGTTCCATTCGCTCAGGTTACAATCAATGTTGCACGAATCGTTTGGGCATGTTTCGGCCACGGATCCAAATTAGCCTTAGTTTCTGTGCCTTGATGTCTGATATGCCTGACTGTGAATGCCTTAGAACCCTTGAACCTGACATCTGGGGCGCTGGCTGAGATCTGCATGGTTGGAATATGAAGGGAAGATACTCGAGCCTGCAAGTTCAGCTCTCTCTTGACAGGATGTCTGCGCAGCGGTCAAATTTTGCCTTTGATCAGCACATCATGCAAGAAACATAGAAACATATATAGACACATCACTCAATCGGAAGTTTCCTAGAAGACAATGATCCTTTGGCTCCTGAATGTGTTCATATTGTGATGGTGTCCTGCAGGTTTCGTTCTAGATAATATGGACTAAAGGATACTAAGGGCAGAATATCCGGACATAGCACAGCAAACCCAAGCACGCACGCAAGTAGCACAAGCTGGCAGCCCAGAAATGATGCGGGACTAGCGGAACTATCATTCAAACATTGATGCTGTGTTGAAGATTAGTCGGCTTGTGTTTGCTTCTCCTTTTTGGAACCACCTAATTACCGCCACCTACAACCAAATTCTCTATTCTCTATCCTAAGTCAGGGGACATACAGTAATTACTGCGGAAGTAGGAACACCCACGCCTCAACTCGCAATGCCGCTTCCCCCTCAAGCCCAGCTTCAATCTCCACCTCAGTCGGCCCAAAGTGTCCAGCAAAAAAACACAATGTGGGCCATTGCATAAGCTCCTTTATTTTGGAGAGGTCCACAGACTACAGATCCTAATCATTGGTTCTATATACTATATACATGACTTGATTGCATTGGCTTGTCTGCTGGCACAGAATAGCGTCCATATACACAGTCTGTGCGAGCTTCAAAAAAGCAACAACTCCCACGGGCTTGAGGCAGCAAACCTCAGCACTCTGACCTTGGATCTGAGATACTAATTAAACCACCTGAGATGCTGGCCATATCTCCTGTCTCCAGAAGCTGCACAGAGGTCCCTCCCAAGACTTCCACCTTGTATCGCAGCTGTTTAGTCACCTTTCTGTGATTCTCTATCGCAGTCTATTGCAGCCATTGATCAAGCCTTAAGCTGCGATCGTGGCATGCTGAAAGTGAGCGGCACCCGCCCATGGAGAGGGACCTCGAAAGGGCTTGCTGCACGTTCTCAGGCAATATGACCCAATTCTGGGCTCGGCACCAAAATACGTGGGGAAGCCGTGCATGGACCTGCTTTGCTGCTTCACAGTTCCAGTTTTGGACAGTTTTTTGCGATAATTATATACTCTAAATATTTGAGGAAAGCCTGCGGGCACCAGCAGCTGCAGTTCAGGCACTACAGGCAGGACAGCCTTCGCCTGACAAAGCACAAGGCATGTCATAATCGAGTCAATGCACAGGATGACCTTTATGGTGCTGTACGTGCTGTCTTTGCTGTCCCAAAGGAGGATCTGTCCCAATCATTCCTTTTTCTTTTCTTTGTTCGTTGAGGAAATCAACATCCGGTCCTTTCGAGCCATGCATAGTTCCGGTGACACCAAACCACTCCAATCCCAGGCCTCCAAGGACAAGGTCTCCCATCCTCTGCCCAGGGGGCAATCGGCTGACACCCAAACCTCCAACTGCTCTGGGCTGGTGGAGTTGGCGCGTAAGTCTACTGCCAGTGCCTCACGAGGTTAAACATGAAAGCCCTAAGCCCACCCCTCATACACTCTCATCACTGATCCAGTTGATGCAGGAAGAAGGACCAACCATGACTTCCCGCAGCAAAAAAAACAACAAAAAACCTTAGCTCAAAAGGCTACATGAAACTACCCGAGAGCTGTTTGACACGGCAACGGACACCATGGTTGGTCTCATTGAGTCTGAGGCTAAGACCCCAATCCCCACCGGCGTCAACGACACCGAAGGGTCTGACAACCATTGGAAGGTGCAAGAGACCCCCAATGCGGCAGCTGCATTTGCTGCATCGCTGCCGGACATACCATCAGAGAGCGCCAACTGCAATGCGATTTGGCTTGCGGCCTGGAACAACTTGCAAAAGTGTCATCCACATTGTCACACACAGTCCCTTCTTTGTACGACTTCTATGTCCTACTGGTTGCAGGCCTCTGTTGCCTCAACGACAGTCTTCTCCATGTCCAGTGCATTCATCAAAAGACTCTTGCTCTTTTGGTCGCTGGTCAAGGGGCCAGCCTCAGGCAGCATACAAAAAAATGGGTCAACCCACATGAGTGGAATGTATCAAGATGGTCTATTGAAGGGATCTTCCCTTCACGACATCTCAGCAAATTGCACGTGTATCTGACTTTTGTTGGCGGAGCTTTCGTTGTTCGTGGTTGAGATAGCCTGACCTATGGGTGCTGAAGGAATGTCTTAATCCTTGAATGCAATGAGTCAGGGCGTGAGCGAAAATACAAGACCCACCTCATGAGTCTAGAAAACATCTTGGTGTCCCCTTGATGCTGCAATTTGACCATGGATATACAGTAATTCCCAACTTTTTCTCAAGAAAACACGCACAAGCAAGACCGGTCTTTACAACTTGATTCTTGATCTTTACAGGAACTCCTTGCAGAACAGCCTGCAGCTACTAGGAGTGCAAAGGGAAATTCAAAAGGCCTTTTGCCGTGCGAATTGAAGCAAACCATGGCGTCCAAAAGCACATACGTTGAAATATTCCTGTATGCCTGTGGCCCATGGTTACTACATTGAAGGCGTGATGCGTTGACCACTACCTACTATGCGATTCTTAGTTCCAATCCTGATGGAACTCAGCGCCAGTTTGTGCAGTATCGATCACCGCCGCACCAGATCTGGCCATACCAACCATTGTAGCACTGGACCCAATGCCAGCAATGACGACCACCGCCGCCGCCGCCCCAGCGTCGCCGTGAATCTCCGCCACCCCAGCGCCTCCTGCCATCACCATTTCCCGGCCGCCTCCGTCGTCGACCCCCAGACTTTTCCTGCGCTTCGTCATCTCCATTCTTTCCGCTCTCTGGCTGTTCCTCGAAGACCACTCCGGCCACTTCGGGATCCTGAGCTGACTTCAGATTTAAGGGGATACAGCACTCGCATGCAACCAATGTACTCAGTATATACAAACACATGAATTCTGAGTGTGTGCCCTGATACTGTAATCCTATTAGCCACTCAAATGTGGACTAAATTCCATAACTGGTTCTTTATCAAACAGGTGTTGCATTTTAGGGTTCTGAGCTGCACATTTAACAAAAATCCTGAGCACTCAGTCTTGGTTCTTCCGCTTCTTTGGTAAAAGCGCTGCCTTTGAAAGCTGGGACCTTGTTCTCCCCGTTCTTGGGCTGGGGCTGAGGTTCCTTGGCAACCACACCCACTTCTCCACCTGCCTTGGGGCTTTCATCCTCTTTGCTCTTGGTAGCGGCTTCTTTGGCAACAGATCCTTCTTCTCCACCAGCCTTGGTGCTCTCATCCTCTTTGCTCTTGGCAGCAGCTTCTTTGGCACCAGCTCCTTCTTCTCCGCCTGCAAGCTTGGGGCTTTCATCCTCCTTGCTCTTGGGAGCAACTTCTTTGGCAACTGCTCCTACTTTTCCGAGTGCGTCCTCCTCCTCTGCCTTGTCTTTCGACTCTCCACGCAGGTGCTGCACCTCATCTTTGCCATAGACCATGGCAAGCGCTAAAGCCAGTGCGAGAGGCAACACTTTCATTTTTGCTGCACAAATTACCCGACAGCACCACGCGTCTCTAGGAGAATCGAAGGCTTGAACTGAAAGTTTGCAGCGTGCGGAAACGGGCGGCTTGCTCAAACTGTAAGAACAAAACACTCTATGGGCTCCATGTCGCACCATCTCTTGACAACAACAACAACAAGAAGAACAACAGCAACAGCAACAACAACAACAACAAGAACAACAACAGGCTTGGCGTAGCCCTGCACTTTGCTGCCAAAGTGGCCTTGCTTCCGGCAAGCCCCAGAAGCAATGGTGTCAGCTCAATGTCTCCTTGGCCAGATTCGTTTTCAGCGCACAAACCGATACTCTCCTCACAACATGAGAAAGGCCAAATGTTCCTGTGCTAGTGTGATGAAGGTTGCTTTGACAGAACTCTGTTCTCAACAATCTTGTGGAATCTTGTGGATGTGCACAGGAAATGGTCTGGACTTGCGACGAACGATGCCACAGGATCATTAGCCAAAAAGCCTGACCAAATGCGGGCTCTGAGCCGCACAGGTTCATCCGACCCTCGAAGCAAGGCAAAAGAGGCCTCGCCCATCTCTGATCCTGGCTTGGTTCAATCATTTGAGACAATGATACAAATACACACACGAAAGGATTCTGTCACCTGTCTGTCCTGTCAAGGCATCAACAACTCCAATTGAAGCGCCACTTGGAACCGTCACTTTGATGTGGGCTCCTTCAGCTATCCCCAGAGCTGCGACCAAAATGTGGTGCTTGAGTTCCATCGGGCGACTCGAAACCGACAGTCCTGCTCGAGCAATCTCCCGACCCGAATGGTGCTCTAGAAGCCGCACAAAAAGATTGGCACTGCCAGGGTTCAATGCCAACACCAGGCCGACCTCCTTGTCAATGCCTTGACAAAGTCAACAAAGCACAAATCTTGTGGGAAAACATATGGGCGGAAAAGCGCCGTCGGCCTGCACTTGAACACATAGTGAGAATCATGAGTCAAATCCACCAGTACATCCAATACTTTCCGACTGATTCTTGTTACTAGAAGTAATGGCCTCTAACCTACTAGCGATGGCCTCCAACCTACTAGCGATGGCTTCCACCTAATAGCTTCGTGTTACTAGTTCTGATGGCCAACCTAGTAGCGTCCTTATCCTGCATTTGGACATCTGAGGCGTCCGGACTGGCAACAGCTGGATCGCTGGAGATGTAGTCAAAGTATGTCCGGGGATTGCTCGGAGGGCCACCAGTGAACGCAAGCTCGAAAGCTTGTCCCGGCATCACAACAATGTGCTTCAGCACAACGTCGAACCTATGGCTTCACAACAAGTCCGGAACATTGCATCCAACATGCAAATGTGAACGAATAAACTTAAAACATCGCAAATAGTGTGACTAGGCTCAGAGAATGTGTCTGCTTAAAATCCGAAGCAAACAGTCAGGCCGAGTCCAACTCCTTTTATTATCATCTTTCATATTTTCGCTCGCGCACATCAACCGGGTGCCCCTACTCTGGCAAGCATTCCACATGAAGGATGCGTGAATGGATTGTCCCATTTGGATAGTCCTGTCATAAGGCTTTGCCAGACTCAACAACAACGTTCATCCATCTCACTTGCGGGATCAGGTTTCCTTTTGAAGCTCTGCTCAAAACATTGCGCCCATCACTCTGGCGTCCTGCATCTCTGCAGACAGTCGATAAATGCCAGGGATGTGGCACACACACCTCCGATGTCGCAAGAAATGATCTGATGCAACCTACCTATACACCAGTAGCAAAAGACAGCACAAGGATCATGCCACCCATCAAAACCACATGATGGCTGGGAATGTATTTGCTTGGCTGCCCTCCTCTTAGACTCTTACAGGTGGAAGTATTTAGCTTCGATTCAATGGTTGTAGCTCAGAATTGGTTCCTCTCCCAATAATGAGCTATTATTCTTTCCCCAAGGGCATGCACTTGGAGGTGACAACAACTTGCTTCTTGCCGTCCAAAGCGCTCGTACTCCCCGCATCTGCTTGGACTTTCTTTCACCTCTAAAGCTCCTTTGTTCATCAGCTGCATCATGTTCGTGTGCAACCAAATAGATCCAAATAGAAATGAACACAGGGGCTTTTCCAAAGCGCCTATTTGGGTGGACTGCATCGAAAAGGTCTGTGCTGAAAGTGGTGACTCAAGATGTTTTGGCAATGCTCCTGGGTCGCTGCTACGCAAGTTCAATGCCAGAGGCACCCAGTTCACCATCCCCAACACCTGCTGGATGCACCACTTATTTTGATCAACATACGTCAACAACTCTCTCACACACACAGAATCAGCTGAACAACCTTCCACAAGATTCCACAAGATCCTGTTGTTCAGGATCCATGACAGGTGATGCATACAAACGTATGCAGCAAATTGCAGCAATATACACATAAAAGTCTCCCTGCTACACCAAGCTCACATGCTCTGAAATGCTCTGAAGCTTGACACAGAAATCCATGGCCTGGCCCTCAGCATCTCGCACATCAACTCGCAAATGCCGTTCGGTGCCGCGCACCACCAACACTGTACGTCCATCTGCGTGTGACTCCTCTGGCGTCAGACGTCAGCAACCCAAAGGAAGCACGCTTTTATTGGGTCTTGTGGGGTCAAAGACGGTCAAAGACAATCAAGTTGGGGATCACGTCCCAGCTGGCTCCTCTCCAAGCAAGCTCAAATCTAGTTGCTTGGCTGCACGGAAGGTCACCTCCAGCTGTTGAGGCCTTGTGCCCAGCAAGTCTGGGTCCCAAAAGGCCAGCGAAGCAGTGCCTGCACAACCGTGTGTTGACACTCAAAGTTGACATTTGTTGAACCAGTTTAATCTCCAGCCAATAGGGATTCTCAAAGCCTTGACTCAGGGGCAGCAAAAACCAGCGCTGAACATAGTCCGCTTTGGAGACATTGCAGGGCGATCCAACCCACAAAGCCTCATCCGACAAAATCCAGCCAGAACTTTCTGCTCTTTCTTCAAACAAGGCTGCTAGGCTCTTTGCTGGCACACAAGGCTCAACTCCATCAGCACAAATTTGGGATGGCTCCAGGACCTGCTGCTTGTCTAGAGGAGCTCTAGTAGCGTCCTTGCTCCTAGTAGCGATGCCAGGAGCCCCTAGTAGCGAACCTTGTTCCTAGTAGTATGGCCAGGAGCCCCTAGTAGCGTCCTTGCTCCTAAGGCAAAAAGCACTATTGCAAATGTTTGGTGGTTTCGTTGAAACCCCAACCCGGTCCTCTACAATCTCTTGACCGGACAGAATCTCAAGACGAGCCCGCCCGGTCCCGTATCCAGCTTCCAGAACCACTGACCTGGATGGGAGCTCTGCAACTGGTGGGTAGCATTCATTTCATGCCAGGTGGAGCATGCTCAGTTCACAAGTAGGAACAAGCAGCAAACCAGGATTTTCTTGGTTGCGGCGTCAAAAGATTGCCAAGGGACAAGTTCCTGAACATTGCGAAACGAGGCTTTTCTGGATATCCTGGCCATCGCAACTCCTCAGTCAGACGGCCAGCTGAAGTGGTGAAACCCGTGAAAGGGCGCAAAATGACTCTGATTGTTTCGACTTCGTCTTTTCCTAAACAATCCAGATGCAGGCCCTATGGAAAGGCAACTCCTGCAATGGAAGGGAGTGACCCGCATGGGCATGGACGTGCCACACCAAAAATCTCTGTCCGAACGCCGAATTCCCACTCACAGGAATCATTCTTTGCGAAGTGCAATGGCATGCATGCCACTAGATAACTTCGTACGTCTAGAACTATATAAAGCTGCTTTGGTGATACGTGGAGCCGTGAAACACTGGTTTTCTGTTTTTTTTCTGCATTCATACAGGCAACCAATGATGTCCGTATGATTTACTGTACATGTAGTTGCTTGCTTCTTGAACAATATATAGAAGTATATGTTATATATTGATGTTTATCGTGTGTCGCAATTCCATGTTACAAACGAAACAGCAACGAGGCAAATCAAACGAACAATCAATCAATCAATCAATCAAAGAATCAAAAAACACGCACAAGCAAACACAAATCATTCAACTAAACGACAGTCAAAGTAAAAAAACAGTCGAAGTTCATCACTAAAAAATACTGCTCACAACATGATTCTTGATATGTTTTCAGCGTGACGTTCATATTTCTTTACTGGGACACACTAAAGCACATGCATACAAACAGCAGCTAGCATAAGTGCAAATCATACAAAAGTAATGTAATGTGAGGCCCGTGAAATAAACTATAGGCTTGACTTAGCCTCCTCAAAGTATCAAAGGCAGTGCGCAGCCGATGATTGATTGATTTCAGAGCAAAATTGCACCGCGCAAAGCAAAGCAATAACACCACTCACACAGTACAACAATGTCCAAACGCTCAACCGTTTGAAATATCCACATGCTCAACCATTTGGGAACCCACTGCGTTGGGCTCGTTGGGCTCTGATTGTGACTACTTCGATGTCATGCTATCCCTGGAAAAGAAACACACTTCCTTCTGGTTGTTGCACGAAAGCAACCAATCAACAACTGCTGTATGGTTTGAACTTGTTCTTGCAGTTTGCTGTTTTGCGCACCACAACGACACACACACAGAAAAAAAAGACATAGGTTTTTACAAAGAAAGCAATTGAATAACACTGGAAATTATGATTCTGGCATAATATTCATGTGCTCCTGCATGACGTTCATATTGTTCTCTTGCTTGGGACATACAACAGCGTAGATACAGGACATAGGTATCACGCACAAACAATATGATAATCACAAATGAACTAGTTGAACTCAAGGACTTAGCCGGCTACGAGGGCAAAGGAAACATTGAGTAACATGGAAAAGCTATCCTATTCAAATTGTCCGCGAGGTTTGCATGAGCTTGTGGTTTATTCCGAACCCGAAAAGTGCCACAGAAAGAAACATTGAAGCAAGAAGCTACTAGTAACAAGGGCATTACTACTAGTTACTAGTAGCCTCAAGCTACTAGTGGCAAGGGCTTTAGTACTAGAAGACCACCAAAATGCTGTCTGGTTGCCAACTTCTGTGCTACAACGATCGGAAGCTCGTCGCTAGTGGGAGGTGGAAGAGCTGCCAACATCTCCACCGAAGTGCAAAGGCTTGAAGGTGCCATGTTGACCTCCAGAGCAAAGCCGAGGCACGGACACGAAGAGGCATGAAAGGCAAACTGGTTGAGGCAAACTGGTTGCTTAAGGGCTTCGAAGAGCCAATTCCAAACACATGAATATCAAATGATGCAAAGTAATAAGTGCAATTAGAATATCAACTTGCCAAAGACTTGCTTCATGGATCTGACCAATGAACTTCAAGGCCAAAGCACCTCCAAACCGAGATTCGCAGTGGCACCCACTGTTGCAAACGATGGCACATGGACGGAAGCTGCAGAGATATCCTGCTCACAGCAATTGTCTCAGGATCACCCAGCTGCATTGCACAAAACCATATGATATATTATGTGTTGCAATATCAATTTACTTCAAGGAAGCGTGCCGACTCACCAGCAACGCCTTCTGGTCAACGGCAAGCCAGGCCTGTCAGCAAGGCCAAGGTTGCTATTACAGCCAAACAATGTGCAAGTCGCTGTATGCCTTCTGAAACGGAACACCGTCTTTGGAGCCCGTGGGAGATAGTGACCATCGCAGCCAGTATTCAGATGCATTCAAGATAGTCCTGCCAATGCCAAAGGTTGCTCGATGGAAAAATCCGCGTCACTCTTCCTTCCCTCTGGCCTGCCGAACGCATCAATGAACTGGGCGCGAAACCTTGTCGTGTGATCACGCCTCATTGGCTTTCAACTTGTACATCCATTGATTCAGCAGTATAATTAGGAGTTTGTGACGATCTTTCTCAATGTTTGTCAAGTTTAGGGGTGCTGCTGCACACCCAAGGCAAGCCGCGGCTCCTTGCAAAACTCGGAAATGAGACTAGATGTGTTCCTTCAAAATTTCCAAAATACCTGTTTGATTTGTTCGTCAAAAGATGTCAAAAGAATGCCTACCAACCTTGTCAAGAAGAGGCTCATGCTCCACATCGTCAAGCTCTGCTACCGCCTGCACAAGGACTTTCATATACTCTCATGGTGGTAGTCATAGAGTCAACATTTAAAGTATTTTAAAGTTAAAGCTGGAAAATCAATGCCTTTTCCAGTGCAAGGCCATCAAAAAGTAATCTTCATTTGAGCAGTCTGCTCTCAGAAAACCTACAGGTGGTCGCGATATCAATCTGTTTACCCTGGCGACCCCACCTGCACCCTGGCTGGTACAGAGCATCTCATCCACAACGTGAGGTTGTCCACCTTGTTCCAGGAAAACTCTACTCCGGCACTGGCGACAATGTGTCAGCTTCCGCACTCGATCCGAGGAATTCCGAGGAATTGGCAAACACCTTGCCGTGCATGCGGTCTGCCGGTGTGTGCCTGGCTGAAGGCAAGCGATTTGGATCGCTCTGCGTGTCGGAACATGTCAGATTGACTTGACTTCTCCTGTAAGTCGTACAGGTCCTGCAGTCTGGCTCATTGTAGCTCTGCGAAAGTATGTGGCAGATTCTACGTGTGAGAACTCGAAAACTCCACTGATTTAGTGTCAACATCGTCCGAACACGGTGTCCTGGCGTCACCTGCATGCAAGAGACCTGGAAGGTTCGAGGTCCAAGCCGAGACCTGTCAGCGACCGGTCGATCAAATCCGAAAAAACGAATCAACAGCTGGAACAACATGCTTGACAGGATCTTGTCGCTTTGAGGAAGTGACACCATAATGTGAGGTCCAGCTGTTAGGTTCCAAGCTTCTCTACCTGCAAGAAGGGCTGAATCATGTTCGTCGCTGTCTACACAGATTCACATCACGCTTGAGAAGTCTTGTTGAGAAAGGTTGCCCAAAGGCATAGCCTGGCACAGTCATACTGCGCGGACCATGTTCTATGCGTAATCTGATGGAAGAGCACGGCGCCACCACCTCTGGCGACATGTGAATCTGTGGTCTAGTCGAAGACTGTTCTGGAAAAAAAACTTTGTTGTTTTGTCGTGAAGGGGCAGTGAAGTTAGTCGTGACGTTCAACTGTATAAACTGTATCAAACTATATTAGATATAATATAGCGACCGCCCGAAACTTAGAATGTAGCATTTTCGGCACTTCAAAACAACAGTTAAATTTAGAATGGGGGGTCCTGCTGCGCACCTTCTAAGTTTACAGGCCGTTTTGAATTACCATGCATATACCGCTATATGGCACCTTCGCTTTATGTATATACTATATATATATATCTACACAAACTCTGTATCTGAAAAGCCTAGAAGAGATGGCCTCCAATCTACTAGCGATGGCCTTCAACCTAGAAGGGTGGCCTCCAACCTAGAAGAGATGGCCTCCAACCTAGAAGGAATGGCCTCCAACCTAGAAGAGATGGCCTGCAATCTGCTAGCGATGGCCTCCAGCCTAGAAGGAATGGCCTAAAGGAAGGCCGCGCCGCTGCCTCTTTTTCCCCTGTCTGTCCCTGTCTGTCTTTCGATGGATTTCTTCATGCAGAAGAGAATGTGCTTTTCTTTTCTTCAATTTTCTGTTAAAACGAGATAAGAATGATATATATATATATACATATATATATATAAGAGTGATATATATATGTGCAAAAAAACGAGTAAAAAAGAGTGATTCAAGAGTGGAAAAAGAGTGCTTTAAGTGTGAAAAAACGTGATTCTTGAATTTAGTTGAGTTTCTTGTCATTTCACTCCATGTTGTCTTCATGTTCCTTTCGGTTTCCTTTCTTTGCTCTTCAAAACATCGACCAAAGTCAAGGGAAATGAAAGGAACCAGCTCAAAACATAATTATGTCACTCGTTTTTCTCTGTTTTTTGCATTCAAGTAGCCACTGACTGGTGATTCTAAGTTTGCCTACTGTTTTTGAAAAACACGCAAGTTTGCCCAGAGGCATTCCAAAATCCAAAGCCCCAGTCGCACTTGTTTGCAAATGATGGTTGTGTTGCACTGCTTCTAAGTTGTTTGGGCCGCTGAAAAAAATGGAGGGTTTTTCACTTTTTTTCACAACACCCCTAGAACTTAGAATGCACCACTGTTGGGGCATGCTAAGTTTATTTTCCTGCACAGGAGCGGTGTTTTATAGCCAAAATGTACCAAAAATGATGTTGAGGAGTTGTTTTTTTTCCGAAACGGAATGGCACAAAAGTCATTCTTAGTTTCGGGCCGTCGCTATAAATGTTGTTCTTTTGTCTTATGATGTGTTGAACGGTTGCCATTTACAAACGTCAAGTTTCCACTTGCTCTTCTCTTTCAGAGCTCTTGGTGTCAAGCCAGTGCTGCTGTCTGATCAACTTCCGCTGCAGCAATTGTCTGTCAAGCTAAAGAACGTGGATGAAAACAAACATTGCCAATTCTTGTATAAACAGCTTCAATTGTTCAACATCATATCAATAATTCTTAAAGAGTGCGTAGCTCTTTGCCCCGCTGGCCTTTTGTTGATCTTTGATGCCAAGCAAGTGCCACTTCAGCGGTCTGTAGACCTGATACCACAACTGTAGTTCTAAGTGCAAACAAGAGCAAGTTCTGACACATGTTTACCATTGCACATTTGAGATCATTTGAGAATGAACAAAGGGGGTTTAGAAGGTATCCTAAGGCAGGATGGCACTGCTGCTCTAGATGTGGAAGCAAACGGAAATCAAAGTGTAGCTACCTCGAAGGGCAAAGACGTCGACGGCAGCGGCTCAGCCGCATCTGCCTGACAGTTGTCATGCACAAACAGTGATTCGCACCCGTGAAACACAAAGGAGCCCAAGAGTTTTCAGGTTGTGTTTGGGTGAGTTCAGCAAAAAACATGAAAGTATATGCAAATCAAGCTGCCCGTGACGAACTCTCCTTCTGTACCAGCATCTTTACTTTCTCTCTCACCACACTAACCGCTTGATCTACTCTGCTCGTGCCTCCTGCGCCCGAGCGGTGAGTTGAAACCTTCCAGTTGTCGATGGCCTGTTCGATCAAGAAACAATTCATGTTCAAGTTACTCTTCATCAATTAAGACTTAAAATAATTAAGCGTGAAATTGGGATAAGCACCAGCTAGGCCTGTGCAATGGCAAAAGCCATGAGCACCCTTTTTTGCACTCAATTGGGGCAAGGTATTCTCAAATGGTCACAAGCGGCCACTTCGACGGGAGCCTCCGTCCCTGCTGTCAGCCCTTCGCCTGTCGTCGTGGCGATCATCATACTTGTCATCACGCCTGTCATCACCTCGCCTGTCTTCATAGCGCCCTCTGTCATCATGGCGGCCTCTGTCATCATAACGCCTGTCGTCATAACGACCCCTGTCATCATATCGGTCATCCCGACGCCTGTCATCATATCGCTCATCCCGGCGTCTGTCATCGTAACCTCGATCACGGTCACGCGGCCTGTCATCCATCAAAGACCTGCTGCCACCACCACCGCCACCGCCGCCGCCGCCACGTGCATTGCGCCTGCCATTGCTGCGGCTGCGGCTGCGGCTGCGGCGCTTCTCATTGAGCAGTGCTCTGCTACCACCTCCTCCGCCACCACCTTTGCGGTCCCTTTCGGCCATGAAAATGTCCCGGCTTGTGTAGCCTTTCCTTTCATCTGCCAAATTGTCCTTGCCACGAGGCTTCCACCTTGCCTTGATGGCAACACCGTCAATAAGCACCTCCTGCCTGTCTATGGCGTCCATGGCCTGTCGTGCCCCTGAAGCATTGACGAAGCGTACCCATGGAATGTGCTGGATCGGGTCACCCACCTAGCAGGCCAGGAGTTTGCAGTGCACAAAGGCATACAGTATGGCAATGGATACCACACCATTGTTATACATGGTTATACCTCCTTTTTCTACATCCTCCCGCCTATCCCCACTATCACGAACAGTGCAACATAGTGCAACTACTACAAAGAAAAGTCGCAATGATCTGATCGTTTCAGCTTCTACTTGCTTGTTGACCGCCCTGTCCTTGTGACAAATGTCGATCTCCCCATATCGCTCCAAGACAGACTTAAGTTGCAACCGCTTCGTCCCGGCGTGGACGCCGCCCACAATCTCTATGGTGTCCATCGAGGAGCTCATTTTCGGAACGAGATAAACTAGACCAGGCACTTCCTGATTTGTCCATAGCTGGTCTTTCCAGCAGTGGCAGGTTGAGCCAACATGGCTTTTGACATCCAAAGCCTAAGCAATGAAAGCTCATCGAAGCAAGTGCACCATCTTTTGCACAACATCTGCAATGAAAAAGACATATCACTCATAGCACAAACGCAAACCAGATGAAATTGCGTCGCAACTCAGGGGTCATCTGCCTCACCCGAATGAGGTTGCAGGTGGCAAAGTCGCCTCAGGTTGCAGTTGGCGTGACGCCAACTGAAAAGGCTGAGCCTAGTGGCCAAGATGCTGGAAGGCCCTGTCCTCACAGACGCCACCTGAGGACAAGCGTGTGCATGTTGGATCGCGTGCAGAGGCCCCTCGGATCCCCTCGGCTTTGTTAGCCCCGCACTGTTCCATTCGAGACTTCGGCCACCATGCGGTCTGAAGCAAAAAGGTTTGTACCTTGAGGAAACAAACAGTTTTGTACTCTGTCAAAACGACGAGGTGTTGTGTTCCAGGGTAGTCTCTCTTGGACTTGCTTCGCCATGCAAGAACTTGCAAGACTCCGCTCTCGCGACTGGGGTTACGGCAATTCCAGAAGGTGAGATTTCCTCGGCAAAGGATAATAGTGGGAGGCAGCACCGCTAGGAGGAAGGGTAAGTAGTAAGGGACCAAAGAAAGCGCAACTTGCTAAAGTGTAGCTCACCGCTGACAGCTGAACCGGGTTTCCCCTTCATTGATCTCATGAACATGCCCCATGTAGACAATGCCTTTGGCACACTCCAATGGTCTGTTGAATCAAGGTAATTATGATTCCTCTGAGACTGAGATGTTCAAAACTTGAATTTCCCTTCAAGCTGTCATTAGCCGAGCCGAGTCAGTAGTGCAAGCAAGGAACGGAGCAGTCTGCACATGGCCTCACAAACTTCTGCTGCCTCAGACTGGACAAACTAAGGTGTTCCGTGATGACAGCCAGGAGGCGATCAAATCTTGCTGGAACCCCAAAAACCATGTCAAACGAGCTATAGAGTCGTCTCTGATCTTGCTCTTGAAGGTCAAATTGTGGAGTTCTGATGAGGCATGAGGTGCAACTAATTACTTGCTTTTCAACTTGACAAGAAAACGGGGCCACCATAGGCCACCCATTGAATCTGGCTGTTTGGGGTTCCCTGCATCATCAGTACCATCTTCTGGCCGCGCCCGCACCAGCACAGGCTCCTCATCTCGACTAAAAGTCCGGAGCCTGACCTTTACCGCATCAAATTACAGTAACAACCGCAAATCCCAAAAACACCGCTGTATTTGTGAGCGGCGACAACCTAAGGGCGGGAATTTCCTCGTAGATGTTTGGTTCGTTCCTTTCATGTTGAAATGGAAAATGTTGGGTATTAGGTATTAGGGCAGTTTTTTTTTGCATCTTCTAGGAACTGCTGCTGCAAAAGGGGTTCGCTTTGGTGAATTGTCTGACTCGCTCTGCAGGGCAAGGTGGTTTCTGCACAAAATGTGTCTGCTTGCAAGTTACTGTTCATTTACTCGAATAAAAGAATAGTATTATATATATATATATACCTTATTCCTGAAAGCACCTGCGAAGGGTTTCTTCCAAAGGACATCTGCTCACATCATTTTCCAACATAATCTTTATCATCATCGCTACTATCACATCATCATCATCATCATCATCATGATCATCATCATCATCATCAACATCATCGCCATCGTCATCATCATCATCATCATACATCATGAAATAACTAAAAACACCTACTAAATCTCACCTACGAAAAACACTTCTAACACTTCGATTCGACTTCTTTATAAGTTTCTTTCTACTCTTAAGGCGGCGGGCAGGTCCGGCCGGAGCTCACGAAACGTGACCCTCTGCGAGGATCGTGCGTGTGGAGTGCTCAAGCGTTTGGTGAAACGTCGATCGCGTTTGAGCCCGAGCGACCCTCTGCGAGGATCGTGCGTGTCGAGTGCTCAAACGTGTGGTGAAACGTCGATCGCGTTTGTGCCCGAGCAACCCTCTGCATGCGGGGATGGTGCGCGTCGATGCGTGACTTTTGGAGGAAGTCTCGTGCGAAGCGCTCGTTTTGGAGACTTGGCGCTTCACTCTTGGAGGAAGTCTCGTACGAAACGCTCGGTTTGGAGCTTGGCGCTTCACTCTTGGAGGAAGTCTCGTACGAAACGCTCGCTTTGGAGACTTGGCGCTTCACTTTTGGAGGAAGTCTTCTACGAAACGCTCGCTTTGGAGACTTGGCGCTTCACTTTTGGAGGAACTCTCGTACGAAACGCTCGCTTCGGAAACTTGGCGCTTCACTTTTGGAGCTGGACTCAGAAGTGGCCAGGTTGTAGTACAAATGTAGTAGGGGAAAGAGCTTTTCGGAGCTGGACTCAGACGTGGCCAGTTTGTAGTGCAAATGTAGTACGGGAAAGAGCTTTTCGGAGCTGGACTCAGAAGTGGCCAG